TTAAAAAAAAAAAAAAAAGAAATTTAAAATGTGAACACATAGCAAGAGAAGGTTTGAGAAGTACACAAATAATTCTGTGAGCACATTGAGGATATGGCTGTTAACTACTCGGGCAGAAGGGAGAACTAAGGGGAAAAAGTGACATTTGACCTATATTTGGAAGGAGCAGTTGAAAGTTTGTAAGAAAGCAACACATAGAAGTTAACATACAGCCCATTCCTCTACCCTACACTCTTAACTCTATATACTTTTCTGGCCTCTTATCATTTACAAATGTGCTGTTAAAGGAACTTTTATTGGGTGCCTATTATGCTGTGCATTAATATAGATATCAGGTGTCCAAAGATTCAGTCCCTGCCCTCAAAAAGCTCAGAATTTAAGGAAAGAGATTACAGCATACTTCTTTAAGTCTTCGAGAGCATTTCTTTATCTCAGTTAAGGAAATGAGCACTGTCTGATGAATAAGGCACAGAGTGGAGCCCCACAGTTCATTCTCCTTGTCTTAACCATGTATATCTTGAGATAAGATTTGGTCACCTGAGGCCCCACGCAACCCAAAGCAAAATGGAAGTCTTACCAAGGTGCTTTATGACATCATAGATAACAAACTGAGATATACCCTAGTGCTAATGAAAAAAATTAAAATAAAACTAGCTAGTTCTCAGAATAATTCATTATACTTGAAACTGAGGAAAAGGCAGGTGACTAGGGGGGAATTAAGTCAAACTGATAACTGGATCAATGGTATTCATATTTTAACTCTTTAAAAAAATTATTATACAAAGATGATACATGAATACCATCTCAATGTAACATATTCAAATGACCCAGAAATACACAGAGCAAGATTTGAAAGTCCCCCTTCACTCCCACATCCTATTTCTTCTCCATTCTCCAGAGGGACCCACTATCAAGTTAGCATGCCTCTTTCCTTGCAGTATTCTTTTGTAACAACATATTTTTTAAAATAATATTATCCATACATACTGAAAATTAATTTTCACTTCACTATGTGTCTTGGAGGTATTTTCAACTCATTACATATAGGTCTAACATGTTTTTATTAGTGACTGAGTAACATTCTTGGTGATTCCAGTATTCACATAGGTGATATTTTTCTTTTTTTTTTTTTTAAAGATTTTATTTATTTATCTGAGAGAGAGAATAGGAGACAGAGAGCATGAGAGGGGGAGGACCAGAGGGAGAAGCAGACTCCCCACTGAGCAGGGAGCCCGGTGTGGGACTCGATCCTGGGACTCCAGGATCATGACCTGAGCCGAAGGCAGTTGCTCAACCAACTGAGCCACCCAGGCACCCCCATATAGGTGATCTTTCTAACACCCTGGTCTCTCTACCCAACCACTCACTCCCATGGTCATACTCTAGAACTGTGCCATCCAATATAACAGTCACTAGGCCACTTGTGGCTACTGAGCATTTGAAATGTGACTAGTTTAAGATGTGTTGTAAGTGTAAAGTTCTGAAGAATTATGTAAAAAATTTAAGTATCTCATTAAAATATCTCATACATGATTCACATATTTTTATTGGACTATGTTGCTATAGCCTTAGTCATTAAGTTCAAATTCTTTACATTCTCAATTTTAAAATCCCATTTTCTGATCACTACCTCCTGTCCTTCCTATTCATTCACTCTCCACAACTCAGAGAAACAAATTAGAGAAACCTTGATCTGGGCTCAAACCCAAAGACGACACTAAGTGAAAGGCAGCAAAGTACCAGAGACAAGATAGGTCAGAGGTGTTAAGTACGGCCTGGGCTCATCTCTCAGGTTGAAATCTCGGCTTTACTGCTACCAACGGGATGACTTTTTTAACAAGCTATTTCACCTCTCTGCACCTCCGTTTCCTCATCTGTAAAATAAAGAAGAAAGATTTTACTGACTTCATAGTGTCATTGGGATTAAATGAGTTAATGTATGTAAACTGAAACAGTGGCCAACTCACAAGAAGTCTACATGTGTTACTGCTGCTACTGTTATTGTTGCTGGGACTCCATACCAATGATCACAGTCCTTTCCCTGGCTGCAGTTAATGATTTTAGCATTTTTCTAGGAAAGATTAGAAAGAAGAAGCACAGCGAAGAAAATTCACAAGGTATCTCTCATATGAATAAATATGTAGTCATTTATTCAGCTAATATTGATTCAAGACCTAGTGTATGAAAGACATTGTATACCACACATTGGGTAAGTTACCTAACCTTTCTGACTCTGTTTCCTCAAAATATACTAATAACCACTTTACAGTGAGATTACAAAGATTAAAGTACATGGAACAATACCATACCATACCTGGCATATAGGTGGTGCTCAATAAATGTGTTTACATTGTCTGTTTTCCCTGCTTGGTATATAACAATGACTAAGATATGGTCCCTACTGTGAGAAGTTACCTTCTCTCTTTCCTTTTCTCCTCCATTTTCCCCAACTGCATTAACTATGTGATTTCTACCCCTCTCCCCGCTTTTGTATTGTATTGTATCACATTGCATTGCTTGCAGTGTATTGTATTGATTTTCTCTCTGCTTTTATCAGTTGCCACCCAAGATATGGGCACCTGGATTGCCTTGCTCAGAGAGCCAATGGGACTTGCATTCAGTAGTCCATAGGATTGTAGTAAACAAAGAAGTTCTTAATGAGCTCAAGAGCACCTCCTGTGGCTGTATACCCCAGCCCAGTGCAGAGGAAATAGGCAAAAACTCAAAACTACCACTTTCTCTGGAAGTAGTCTACATATTTTCCTAGCTCCTGCCTATGGGGTCCAGCCGCCAACCAGCCTGCATTTAGGTGCTGGCTGAGATCTTTTGAGACACTGATGGACTTTGGCACACCTTCAACTGCTGGGAACCACTAAGAACAAAGAAGATGACTTGGACAATCATAGATTTTAGAGACAACCAGGAAAACAGGCCAGGCTAATTGATGATATGATCATGGAAATCCACATGCAAAAGAATAAAACTGGACCCCTATCTCACACCACATAAAAAAATCAATCCAAATGGATTAAAGACTTAAATTTAAGACCTAAAGTCCTAAAACCCTTAGAAGAAAACACAGGGGGTAAACTTCATGACATCAGTCTTGGCAATTTTTTTTTCTTTTATTTGACACCTTAAGCAAAGGCAACAAAAGCAAAAATAAACAAATGGGACCATATAAAACTAAAAAGTTTCTGCACAACAAAGTAAACTATCAACAAAATGAAAAGGCAACCTACTGAATAGGAGAACCATATATCTGATAAGAAGCTAACATCCAAAGTATATAAGGAACTCATACAACTCAAAGCAAAAA